AAAATGAGAAAGTTAGCCATGCAAACGTGCATCCACTTACAAGTGAATTATACTTGGATGATCAGATTTTGCCTAACACAAAGCAAACTAAGCAAGAAATCTACAAATATTATAACCTACAAACAGGTTTTGACAGAAATAACCATCATTGCCCCACCCAGCCTCCCCAGAAGAGGTTTTGGGCTGCTGGAAATGCATGAAGTTTGTACACCCTCTTCCAAATTATGTATCCTGTCTAGCTTCCTTGCTGTTGTAAGAAAGCACTAATACTGTATGTCTTGGGGATTATGAAAATCCAACTTATATGCACGCACCACACACCAGGAATACTTGCAAGGCTTTCATGTATTGTCACCTGAATGAATTTCTACAGTTAGCAAAATATATATATAATGTGCACACACACAGTCATTGTATTGTCACCCTGATCCACTAGGAATTCTACTGTGTAATACTAAATGAGAGTCAGCTGAGGTTACCTTTGAGGCTGAATTATCATTATAAAAGCAAAATGTCATACAAAAGCTGTGAATTTTCATACACTCAGTGTCTAGAGGATCTTGATCTAAGTGATAATAAATTATGAGGCTGGCTCAGTTTAAATCAGCACAGCTGGAAGGCTGTTCCTATATATAATCAAGCTATCCCTAACCATATGAGCCAGTTCATCAACTATGGAGTATCAGCTCTACCTTTGAAAACTTGCCCCTACTAAGGCCAGAGGACAATAGAGAGGCATTATAAGCCTAGTTTGCCAATTCATGGAGTGATCTCATTAGATCTGAGACCAAACAAGGTAAGGGGAATAAAGCATAGTGCAACTGCAATGCAAATACAAGATAAGAGGAATTTCAGTAGATGAGGCAAGTGTAAAGAAAGCAGTAATCTTGGACTCTTTGACTCAGAAGACTGACCACATCAGAAATCTGTTTAGTTAGCACTTCTGAAGGATTCAACCAACTTCTCCCTTGAGAGAAGTCTCTAAAGCAGATGCGCGCTACCCTCTTGTTTTGTGTCCAACAAGAACACTGGCTGCTGAATAGACACTGTTTTCATATAACCACACACCGCTCACAGAGGACAGGAAAAGGTGCTGCTTCTGAGTGGTGAGGTAGCGCAGAGGGAGAAGAGCTATGTAATCCCGTAAAAGAAACAAGAAAAGTGATCTTTGCCCGAAACAGTAGATGTTTCTTTATCTTTTTAGGTCAATCAAAACTACATCCTGCTATTAGTAAGACCAGTTTTAATTCAGCTTTAACTTGTCTTGCACACACCAGAAATGGAAAGAATCTGCGGAGACAAGACACTGGTATTATTGAGCACTTAGGTTATCTCCTTATAGCTGAAGGCACTGTACAGTACAGGAGGGGATACTTAATTCCTTACACTCCTTTAAGCAATAGTAAGCCACACAAAGTGGATGGATACTATGAAGAAATATGTCCCCACATTACGACTGTGTTGCTGACTCCTGCCATCTTCCAAATTACTAGGCAACAGTATCTTTGCCCTCAGTTATTGTAGTTGTCTAAAATATACTTTGTGTTTAAAGAAAGAGATGAATGAGAAGGAAGGGAAAAGAGAAAAGGCTGTTAAGGCATTTTGGCACCTCATCCATAACTGTGATGCCCTCAGCAGATATATTCACTAAATCTCATGGTTATGAGATTATACCTCAAAGCAAAGCTTATTTCAAGAGCACTCATCATCAGATCCAATTGCTGAAGCAATTCAGCATACACTTCATGTTCTAATCTACTCTTTCCTTTCATTTAAGAGTGCTAGTCAAAGGATGGCAGGACAAGGAAATCAACAAAAAGCAGTTTATTTGAATGGAGAAAAAAAAAAAAAAAGGAAAAATTTGAGAAGTGTCTAGATTCTTTTCTTGACTTGGTTGGTTGATTCACAAAACCAGTAACAAAAAACAAAACCCAAGAACATCCCAGTAGGATTAACTGTTGATAACAGGTGAATACGCATAGGACAAAATTTCCAAGTTCTGTCATTTCAATTGCACTCACAAACATGTACTAATAGATATGTATATAAAATATAAATGAAGTAAACTTTTAATCCTTAGCATGGCAAGCTTTATTCTCCAGACATACAAGAACTATGTAAGCAAAGACACAAAGAAGTCCAAATCACAGCTCCCCCTGAAGCATTATTTCTTACTACTGTGAAGATCCATAAAGTTAGACAAACTTCATAGCAAGGGAAGCAAAACCATGCTGCTCCAGCAGCCTAGCATTTAGCTGCTGTGAAAGACTCTGAAAGTCATGGATATAAAATATGTAATCAGAGTCTTAACACCTTGTGGCTGCTAAGCTACCAGTATGAAGAATTACAAGAGCACCTGTATTAGGTATCTTACAAAGCAAAACACAGAACACACTGTTATAAATATTGCAGTGCAACCATGGATAAAAATAGACCTTTTTTTAAGGTATTATTTTTTCTTCAGTTGCTACCATTGCAAAAACAGGGAACTGTTACACATCTGCTAAAGCTTGTTCCAGGATGTAGCATGTACATCAGCCATCCACAACTTGAGTTTTGAAAGGAAAAAATGTTGCTGTTTTAATACACAGAAGAATGAAAAATTATCAGTTTACTAGACATTCCTCTCTTTTCCTTTCCAGATCTTGTACAGCTTTACCAATTGAAATAACTGCAAACAGCTTTTAATTGTGATGTGCATGAGGCATTTCTGTGACTCCCAACAAACGAAGCACAGAGGTCTGACAAAATAAATTACTAATGAGCATAATAAGGCTTGATCTTTCCCCTATTCAAGCCAAAGACAATCCCCCTGCTTTGATCAGTGGAAGCAGGTCCAGTCACTTTTGCTCAGCTTGCTTTAATAAAATGCTCTACATGAAAAATCACAATTGTACCATGCCGTGTGGATTAATCCCACACAGAACAGCCTGATCCTACTCTCACAGTGGAGTTTTGCAATTGACTGCAAATTAAAAAGGAAAAAATACATACCTCAGTAATTGTTAATAAAACCTCTTTGGAGGTCTCTTACCTGCTATCAGGCTAACAGAATGCTTTCCAGATCTAAATTTCAAAATTAGCCTAACAAATCTTAGAGAATTATGAAAACGTACAGATTTTCTCATCTGTATACTTAACACTTAAAAATATACCATAATGCAAAATTAAGAATTACTTTAATTGAATTTAGAAAAATAACCAGAGGAAGTGGATACAGACAAATAATGAGTAGCTTCCGTAACACTAATAGCTGCATCAGAACTAGCGCAAAAGACATGATTCTAAGTTTAGGCTGAAATGGTCTCCCTGACTAACTGCTCCTCCATCTAAACACAGCCTTGCTGTGATACATATCGCAGCTCAGACAGCAGGGGTTGCAACATCACGCAGCCAGTTTGAGTGCTTGAAAGTACACATTGTACAGACTGCAAAGAAAAAAACCACACTAACGATCTGACATCTAAATAACACCTGGCACTCAAATTGTAACTACATTATATTTAACCCTGGAAAGCATTTATATTAACTTTTGATAACCTCAGCTTTTCAGGCAGACCACAGGTTTTGCTGTCCTTTCCAGGAAATCTGTAGAACACCACAGAAGTTAACAGCAGCCCAGGACAGCTTACTTGTCAAAACAAACACGGTCCTGTCAACTGAGTTATGAAAACAGCCAAGTTTCTAAAACTCTGACATCTCAAGTGCCATATTCTAACCTGGACGAGAGAATGCTTAGGAGCTGTGGAGTGCTACCTGACAGATCATCTATCTTACCATTTTTTAAGTATCTCTATGGCTTTTCTTTGGCATGCGGTAACTACTGGTCTTCATTTATCTTTCTTGACTACTATAATAGCATTGCCTAAGAAGACAGCACTGAAAACACGTAGGTGTTCGCACTGGGAATCGTTCTTCTGTTCTCTCCAGACGGACAGAACACCACCTTTGTCAGGCTGCACAGAAACATTTGCAGCTGACCAACCCACTTCGCTTCAGCTGCTTCCCCGTGATAGGCGGCCTCTGTTGAACACCCGCAGGAAAACACCCTCAGAAAATAAACAGTGACTGCTGACCAGCAACTAGTTTGACATCTTGTGGTTAAATATATAGTATTTAACGTTTGTGAACTGTGTATTTTGAATTCAGCCATCTCAACGTCGAGTTTGGTTCAGTGATGAACAGCGTCTGGAGCGTTTCATCACTGAACTCCCACATTCTGACAAGTACTTGGAGTATTTCCGAGACATGGCACGGGCCGTTCTTACGGCTGCCACACAAACTGGCCAAGCAACCCTCCGCTCGGCCTCACAGCAGCGCCTTACCCTCAGGCTGCTGCCCGCCATCGAACTTCCCATTCCTACCTGACGCCCAGGTTTAACGGCAGCCCCCTCCCCTCAGCCTGGCGCCGCCGGCGGGCGCTAGGCCGAGTCCTGCCCCACGGCCACGCTGAGGGAGGGCAGCCTGACTCGCCTCTGGGTACTCCCTGGTGAGAGACCCCGCAGCGGGGAACGGGCAAACTTCTGCCGGGATAGTTTTCCGCCTGGCCCGCCCCCACAGCGCTTCTTGCGGGGCTTCCCTGAGCGGGGCTGACAGGACCCCGCCGCGGGCACGCAGGACCCGGGCCGCACAGGTGCCAGAGTGCCCTGTCCCCCCTGGCGCCACAGCATCGCGGCTGCCTCAGGTGGAGGGCGGGCTGCGCCCATTCCCGGGGAGACCTCGCCTCCTAGTGCCGGCGCCGGGCCGCGCTGCAGGCAGCGGCAAGGGAGCGCCTGCTACCTCCCGAGCCCCTCCACCTTCCTGCATCGGGCCCGCTACGTGACCCATCGCGGCGGGAGGGAAAATGTGAGCGCTCGGCAAGGCCGTGAGAGAAGCGGCGTCCGGAGGGGGATGATGAGCAGCCAGAGCTCCCCGGCTGCCCCTCAGCGAACGGCCCCCGCAAGCCGCGCGGCCCGTCCGGCCCCGCCGAACCCGGGCTGGCGCGGACGTTTTCGCGTTACCTTTCGAACAGCAGCCGTATCATGAAGATGCAGAAGGCCAGGGGGAAGGCGAGGTAGAGGTCCTCCGCCTGCGGGAAAGCGGCTTCCTCTGTGCTCTGCAGGTCCGCCCAGGTGACGTTGTGCGGCAACCAGAACCGTTCGTTCCAGAACCAGGCAAGGATCCCTGCCATCTTTGCTTTGTCTGTCTCGGCGCCCCTCACTCTGCTCCGCCCGCGGCGAGGCGTGTGCGAGCGGCTACCGGAGGAGAAGAAGATAGAGGAAGGCGTGTGTCAGCCCCACAGCCGCGGATGATGCTGCCGAGCGGCGCGCCGTGCTGTGCCGCTCCACGCCCCGCCTGTCACACGGCCGGGCCGGCCCCCATTGGCTCCCGCCCGCGCCCCACGGCTGCTCCGGGGTCCGCCGTACTCCTGCAGCAGCGAGGCACAGCTTTCCTCCGCCCCTCTTCCCCTTCCCAAAAACCCGGCCAAACCCTGAACCAGAAATAACGCGACCCGAGCAAGCGGGGACCCCGTCCTGGGGGCACTCACCGCGGCCGAGGCTGCTGCCGGGACGCAGGATCCGCTTCAGCGCCGGCTCGGCGCACAACAGAGCTGTCGGCGGGGCGGCTCCTTGTCACCCGCCTGGCCTCTGACGGCCGGCCCGCTCTCACGCCGCTCAGCCGGGCTCCCGGCGAGTTTGGAAGGCTGTTGCCTGATTTAAATAGGCAGATGGCAGCCACAAAAAGCCCTCCTTTACTGACCTCCTCACAGGAACACGGACCGGTATCGGCTGTCTCAGCCCGGTCCCAGCGAGGGTAACCCCTGCCAGGAGCACGGCTCTGCTCGCTCCTGCTGAGGCGTTTAAATGGGCAAAAGGACGCTCTGAAACACTCACCGGCTGAACCTTGTATGCACGTACAGCAAACAGGCGTGAATGAGGCATGGAAAAGTGTGCGAGAACACAGCACTCACCAGCAACAAAACTGAGGTTAGGACCGTGGTTTTGCACTCCCAGCTAAAGAAAACCTTTTGTCTTTACGTAGGCTTTTACTTTCGGTTCCTTACCCCACTGCCCAACCCCGCTAGAGACGAGGAAAACTGTAATTGTCTCCACTAGACTTTATCGCAAAGGTGACTAGCAGGCTTTAGTTTTAATTGTAGCTACTGCACTATACGTGTGGTGGGCTGGGCACACACAAAATGACTTCAAGTAGTAGGTGTACCGTTTATCTGACATTACTGGTTTGTCTGCCCTGCCTCACTTTATTTTAGATGGCTTCAGTTTTCTCCCCTCTATCATCATACTTTACAGCTGGTGCTGAATACTGAGACACTGACTTCTGCATGTGGCATACTCAAGCCTTTTATCACACTGCCTTTTGGTGTAGCTTGCTCTCCCTCCCCTCCCCCCCCCCGATTCTACTTGCCCTTCCTGAAAAATTAACTTCACAGCCCTTTATGTCTGTGCTGACATCTCTGTGCTGAAGAATATACCAAGTTAAACACATGACCTTGGTGCTTATGAAAAACACTATACTGGTTTTAACAAAACAAGCCGTTTGTGTATGCAGAGAATTTCCACCTAGGCCATTACAGGGAAGTTTCAGGAAATGCTTTGGCAGGATGGTTGAGGAGCTATGTGAGAAAACCCCTTTTCTGTTTTATTGCTAAGCCAACATCCTAAGTAGGGAGAGAGAAGAGAGCTGGTACCTGAAGTCTGCTCCATGGAGCACCTGGTCCTTCAAAATCACCTGAAAAAAAGCATGGGCTCTAGTACCACTACCAGATTTGCCTGTCCCACGTCTTTACTGCAGTTAGCACGGAGCTCACTGCCTGTGCTGATCTAAGCCCTCAGCTCCCCACTGGTTACAAGTCTATGCATGATCATCTCAGGATCCTACTATGGGTCTCTGACATGAGCTATCTGTCAGAATTTCAGGACTTTTCTGTGATTTCATTTCAGAGGGAAAACTGACCATGGGGGTTGCACACCTCTAATGCAGCCTTCTTCACTTACAAGTAATGGTTTTCTGAGCAGAAAAAAACATATCTTTGCTCAAATCAGCAAGACCTCTTTTAGCCTGTGCCAAAAACTTAACTCACCAAAATTCCCCTTCCTCCTTCTGATCTTCCTGCCTTGTTCTCACAACTGACCTAGAATCCCTCTAGAACTCCCCCTGGGAGCTCATTTTCCAGCGCTCTCACAAACACCTGAACTGGCTTCTGTGTGTACACATGTATCTCTTCAGTTACGATTCCCAAATCATCCAGATCCCTCAATTTTCTGAACGGACTTTCATAAGCCTGTCTTAAATGGGAGATACGAGTGTCTGCTCTCAAAGTGGACTCAGAAGCATAAGTTTTGAAATCTATTGATAAGCTGCTCTTTAGGTATCATTTTAATAGCTGACAATACACAGATGGCTATTTGCTGCATTAATGATAGTTGTGTTTAAGGCACAGTTAATTTTAATCAGAAAATTGGTATCATTATTCTGTACCTGCACGTGACCTGTCTTTTCACAGTGTATTTCAGTATTCTAATCTGTTCAGAAGTACATTCAATATTTATGTCCATTTCCAATTCAATGAAGTAGCTCTTTCCCAGTCAGCACTGAGGTTCACAGGTGCTGGTGCTTGGCATTGCTTAAGTACAGATACAGGTGTCCTGGGTTTAGCAGTAGCAGTCAATTTTTCTCCTTCTTGGTAGCTGGTGCAGTGCTGTGTTTTGACTTTCAGCCTGGGAACAGCGCTGATAACACCGATGTTTTTAGTTGTTGCTCAGTAATGTTTACCCTGACCAAGGACTTTGTGAGTCTCATGCTCTTCCAGGGAGGAGGGGAAGCAGGGAGAAAGCAGAGACAGAACACCTGACCCAAGGTAGCCAAAGAGGTATTCCATACCATAGCATGTCATGCCCGGGGGGGTAACTGGGAGTTACCCAGAAGGACAAGGGGTCTTCCAGGTCAGACTCATTTTTCGGCTCTTATCATTATTATCATTGGAGGTAGAAGCAGTGGGTTTGTGTTATACCTTAGTTACTGGACTGCTATCTCAACCCATGGGAGTTACATTCTTTCGATTCTCCTCCCCATCCCTCCAGAAGCGAGGAAGGGGAAGGGGGAAGGGGGGAAAGGGGAAGGAAAGAAAGAAGAGGGGAAAAGGGGGGGAATGAGTGAACGAGCTGTCTGGCTGTGTTTAAACCACAACAACAGGAAAGGGACAGATCTTTGGAAAATGAACCTAGCAACAGTAATAACCTGATGATGCATAAGAGGTTAATTCCTGCTGAACAGTTAGTGTAATTTACTTGTGTGTCAGACTAAAATTATGTTAAGGAACAGAACCCTAGGCATCTCTGAAAATGAATGACATTTCTGAAACATTTGGGAGGATGACCAATTAAAAGCTTTTAACTGAATTCAGATTGTAGCAGCAATTATGTAGATGTAGCCAGGACAGGACTATGGAATGAGGATGCCTGAATCTTGTGCTTTGGAGGGAGATACTACCAGAATTTTTTGTGTGCCCCCTTAAACTGTTATATCACAAAACGGAGACCAACAGAACTTTTATAACCATGGTTTCATATGTGGTCTTACAACCTGAAGCAACTTACTCTAAGATAGTGCTAGAACTTGGCAAAAAATATAAAATATATATATGAGTCCTCAAAATCCCAGCCTGGGCACTTTTAGTAACACACAAGAGTTAGTAATAATAAAAAACATATACACAAATTCCCCCAAAGTTACTGAATTTCTGTTTCTACTTCAAAAAGAAAAAGAGAAAGCTGACAGACTGCATATCACTAGTTCAAGCCCTTGAGTAACCAGCAGAGTGGAGTGGCCACTCCAAAATGAAGGACTGACTTACTGTTTATGTCTTGTTTCTTCAGCACCAAGAAACTAGGTTAGATCTCAGGCACAAAAGTTTCCTTTAGTTTAGGAGTAAAATTATTGTTCTTAGTCTAATGAAGTTCATGTATTCCAGTGAATGCACATCAGCCTCACTTCTCATGGCCACGAAATTGCAGTAGCCTTCTCATACCACATGAGAACACTAGTACTTCCCACAGATCAGAAAAAAAATACATGATTATCACTTTTCAATGCAGATGTTTTCATACATTAAAATTCAGAAAATTTTCTGGTAAATATATGTTTGTATTCTTTCAGTATTAAACTGCTTAAAATTGGCAATGGTTTATGCTGTCTTAGGCTTCCACACAGGTATAAACACACACACAAAGTAAAAATTAAAAATAAAAATGAGCAGTTATTTAGACATTACTCTAAAGTAAGAGAGTTGCTGTAAGCAGTGGTACACATAGGATGTCAGTTGATCTAGACCATGTTCAATGGGTACTGCAAAAATCGCATGGAGAAGCAGCATGCTGTTTAGCTCAGCTATGTAGCACAGAAATGCCACTTGAAGTTTTCAAGCACTACATTCATGCTGCAAATGTTGCTGGAGTTACAAGCTCATAACAAAATCTTGGAGACTTCCTTGAAGGATATTGACAGAGATCATTCCTACTGGGAGCATGTCTTGAAAGCAGCTTTACTACTTTATGGTGGGTAGTAGCCCAATATTTTTATTTGCCTGTCACAGTTTATTTATCCATCTGCAGTCAACAGGAGCATGTATTGCATCTGTTGGGGCTGTTCAGCCTGGAGAAGAGAAGGCTGCATGGAGACCTCATAGCAGCCTTCCAGTATCTGAAGGGGGCCTATAGGGATGCTGGGGAGGGACTCTTCATTAAGGACTGTAGTGATAGGACAAGGAGTAACGGGTTAAAACTTAAAAAGGGGAAGTTTAATTGGCTATAGGGAGGAAACTCTTTCCTGTTAGGGTGGTGAGGCACTGGAATAGGTTGCCCAGGGAGGTTGTGGATGCTCCATTCCTGTCAGTGTTCAAGACCAGGTTGGACGAGGCCTTGAGTTTAGTGTGAGGTGTCCCATGGCAGGGGGTTTGGAACTAGATGATCTTAAGGTCCTTTCCAACCCTAACTATTCTATGATTCTATGATTCTATCTCTAAACCACTTTGAGTGAGTTTGGGAGTGTGTATTGTACCAATGTGTCTTTGCCACACTGTTGGCCACCCAAAGGAGTTAGTCCACCAAAACAGGAAAAGCTGCAGCAAAACGTCTTGATTTTAAAAGACTGTTGTAAAATTGAAAAAAAGCAGCCAACTTTTTTATCTTATTTAGTCTGCTTTAATTCTGGAGTACTGCCAGGCTTACACACAGGGAACTGCAGTCAGACTCTGGGCCAGTCAATTTAATGGACCGCATAGTACAGATGCCAATAGCACAATCCACTGAGACTTTTTATTACCCAAATCTAAATCATGTTGTTCCTGAGCAGAAGAGATGTCTATGGCTGATCCATGAAAAAGCAGCTGTGCCAGTCCCATTTCCATAGGTCCATTTCATTAGGCCACTAATGATGTGCATAGCAGAAGGGTTGAGAACTGCACAGGTGTAAGTGTGACTGTTCTGTGCCTTCTTGGGGAGGGTGGAGGACCATGAGCATAGGTGAGGCAACTGTACAAGCACAGCCCTGAGATGTCATTATTCTAGCATGTCTTCCTACCTGCTGGTTCCAGAAGCTGTGGGGAATTCCAGTTTCTTATGCTGCTGGTTTTGCAAACTTCTCTAATAATTTCACCTAAGAAGTAAAATTGCACAGAGCAGCAATCTTAATTACAAAAGCTATGCCAGGGCAGTCAAATCAGTCCTGACTCTTGCATGGGGTGGTATTAATCTGGAGAGATCAGTCTAGCTTCACCCAATTACCAGACAATGTACTCTGAATTCAAATCACTAGCAGAACTCTCTGTAGCAGTGCTTTAAATACATCAGTACAGTAGGTGTCCCAAGGTTATATCACTTCACTGCCTTCCAAATTTTTGGCAGACAAGGAAGATATGTCACTTGGGAAGACAAGCAATGGTAATTGGCTTGGCTGTCATGAAAGGATGTGTGGACATGTAGTTCTAGCTGAAAGAGAAGTTTACAAGCCTTAGAAGAGTTTGTGCTGGGCTCCAATTAAGGTCAAGATCCAAAACAGAGCTGCTGTATGAGGACTGGTCAGAAGGTGAAGAGGAAGCCTGAGTCACTGTATGTCTCCATGCTTCATCTCCATTGTTCACTTTGGTTGGGCTTTCTGCACTAGATGTAAAGAAAGAATGCCAAAGCGTACATCCTCATTATGATACAGTCACAGTTCACTTTATGATGTTGCTTAAGTGCCCAAACTTATGCTAAACTGAACTAGGCCCTATTCAAAATATAGTAAGAGTAGTCATAATCTTCTGCACCAATTTAACTAAATTATCCTGAAAGAAAACTTTTAATGATGTTTGTACAACTCTTAGCATAGACAGGTGGCTGGAAAAAGTGCTGGTTTTGTCTCAAGATAGATATCCTGCATTGCACTTCAACTGGCACTTCAGAATCATCTTTTTCAAGACTATTCACATGGCTAGATTTAGGCTATAGAGTCACATTATAATTTACTTGGCAAAGGGACTTTTCAAACCATTAGGTTGTCAAAATTTACTGTTCAGGTTATTGACCAGTGTGGAGCTGCAGCATCCAGAGATGCTCTGGAGAACTACAGACTTCCAGTAGTCAGGCCTTGTTTCCATGCTCAGTAAAACCTGGGCACTGACAGACAGCCTTATTGTGCCTGACTCAACAAAGAACACTGCAATCTGGAGTCTCTGCCAGCTTTACGTCAGCTGTGAGGGGGACAGACAATTCCTGACCCTCTATGCAATGAGAGCTAATCTGGCATAAAAAGTCAGCTATTACAATGGTGACCTGTCACACTGTTTACAGGGAATTTCTTTTGCCAGTGTGAGCTTCTGAGAGGTCAGTACGTCCCACGTCATGGCTGCAAACTGTGCTCCAGCCCTGACAGCCTAGGAGTTACTTACTGTCTTATCAAAATACAGTCCCAAGAATTCCAGAAACTACTGGCAGAACTAAACTCACTTATGCACCAGTCATCTTCAGACAGCTGCCAAAGTAATCATATTGTGCCCAGCAGAACATTCACCTCATGACATCTCAGCCTTTTCTTCAAAGCTTTTAACATCACTGTCACAATGTCATCTGTTAGTCATGTGCTAACACCATGTTCACATGTGAATGAAGCCAAACCTATTTGGTTTAATGATGACACATAGATGTAAATTATTATTTGCATAGGAGTAGAGGACAGGTAAATTGCTGGTAATAGATTTTTATTGTCTTATTACACAGTTTTAAACATCCTCCTTATAAATTTTGCCATACTTATTCCACAGCTCTGCAGGGAGAGCTGGGCAGAATATTTTTTTTTTCCCACCAGTAATGGACACATGGATTGACTGAAACTATTGCTGAATTCATCAAATTAGAATTTTTATTTCACCAAATCAAATGTATTATTCTGACATTTTTCAAACCAAAGCATCCATTTTTTATTTTGCAATGACATTTCAAAAGTAAGGTTATTTCTCATTTTAAGTGAATTGGAAGCAAAATATAAGTCACATTTATATTTTAGATGAAATGAGATACATCATAATTGTATGATATATCTTTAAAGCTCCTCCTACTCTGTAAAGTGAGGCTGATTATAAAGAAGGTGCATCACAGACAGACAGACACCCTCATGGAATGGCATGGAAGACTGCAAAATTTGTAAGTCAGCTTAGAGAACCCCATAGGAAGTTCTTGCAAAGACATACAGCTCTAATCCTACAATGTTCATACCACAAGCTAACTATATGAGCATTCTAACAAAAAGGATTAAAAGTGGTTATTAGAAATATATTTTTAGCATAACTAATTGTATTCTACATATATATATAGAGTTTAGATAACTTATTTTTTTAAAGAAAAGATTCCAAACCTATAAGGCCTTTGTCTCTATTGATTTAGAAGCCAGAGTTCCTAAAAACATATAGTGTTGATATAAGAAAAAAACACTAGGTGTTAGTAGCTTTGTGGGTTTATCTATCTCATTTGTGTACAATCCACCTCTCAAATCAGTGGCAGTTTTGTCTCTAGTTTCAAAGGAAAACTGTCAGACTGATAGGAAACGCAAATGGCCAATCTTTTATGCTGCCTGACTGTTATCAGGTTGTTGGTATTTTGCTTTAATTAGTGTACATTTGAACCTCATACAGACTGGAAACTAAACAAAGGAGGAGGCTATTTTAACTGGTTAGAGGTACCATCAAAAAAGTTTCCATAAAACTGACCTGAACAAATCAAGTACATCAGTGAGTAACTTCCTGGAGACAGAATTTTGGTAAGAGGCACCCTTTCATCAGGCAAGAGCAGTTGTACTATTTCATTCATTTCCCAGTTAACAGCAGATACTGTTGAGCTCGGTGGTCATCATTTCAGAGTAATCAAGTCGCACTACATGCTGACAAGCACTGCTCCAAAACACTTTTTTTGTGCTACTGCTGCCTCCTTACACCTGCTGAAGAAGCCTCTCCTTGTGAACAACGAAGGGGTCCATACTGTAATCTCAGAACTTCACAAACAAATTGGACGTTGGAAACTACTTTTTGTTCATTTCATAACAGAGCAGAATATATACAGTTGCAGAAGCTCAGGAGCTTCTCTGGTGGGTGAGGTCTGCATCAA